CTCTGTCTTCCTGCCCATTAGACTAAGTCAGTCAAACTTGCCACGCCCGTCCTGGACCAGGACACATCCAGTCTTGACTTAGTCTCCAGCCCAGACGGACGTGACACGTTTGGCTCCCAGCTTAGTTGCAAGTTGTACAGATCTTTTTTCATTCATTTCATCCCCACAGTCAGCTCAGCAGTGCTGGGCTCAGCGCTGCTTCAGCTGGACTGCTGGAGGGCTAGGGCTTCCTCCTAGTTCTTGGTGAGAGCGGAGGCCTTCGCGCTCCCACCCCTCACATCGTTGCAGCATTGGGATCAACGCTTCAGCCGGGAACCCCCCCCCCCTCAGCTCCCCTGCTGGAGGGCTAGGGCTTCTTCTTACCCTGATGAGATCAGAGGCTTCCGATCTCCCTCCCCCTCACATCGTTGCAGCGCTGGGATCAGCGCTTCAGCCGGGAAACCGCCTCAGCTCCCCTGCGTTTCCTAGAAGCCTTGCGTGGTTTCTTTTGTGGCCAGATAGTTGCGGCCGCCATCTTGGCAGCCGCGTGGCAGCAACCGTCGCCAATTAGCTTCCCTCTTAGTCGTTTCGGCTCTTCGCTCCTCTTTCTGGCCCAGTGTCTCTTCACGCCTCCAGGACATCGCTCAAGCATTTGCCTGCGGCCTTGTTGCTGGCCCTTCATAACTGATCGGTGCGGCCGCCATTTTGGGCGCCGCGTGGCCGCCGTCGCCATTTTCCTCACAGTTGCCCTTGGCCTACCTCTTTTGCCTGGCTTGATACTGTCCTTTCTCCCTCTTTTTCGATCCAGAGGGAGCAGTGGCGACCGCAGCCGCCATTTTGAATGGCCAGCATAGCCAAGAGGCCTGTCCCTCGCTGGGAAGCCAGGGCCTAGTGGCAACTCTTGCCTCCAACTTCAAAAGTGTAGTTATTTGGGCCATCATTTCCAATACAAAGCCCTGCCGTTTGGCCTTTCGTCAGCTCCAAGGGTGTTTACCAAAATCCTGGCAGTGCTCGCTGCACACTTGAGACTGGTACTGGTACTCATTCAATACTATCTGGATGACATTCTTATCCAGTCGCCCTCCCTTTCGACCGCCCAGTCGGACCTAGCGTTGTCCATCAGGGTCCTCCAGGACCATGGATTCTCGGTGAACTTTCAAAAGAGCCAGACAGTTCCCTCGACCCATCTCCTGCACTTAGGGGCCATCATAGATACAGACCGTTGCCAGGTCTCCCTCTCCCCGGACCATCAGGACAGCATCCGAGCGCTGGTCCTCAAGGTCCACAGGGAGTGCGTAGTGACACTAGCCGTGCTTTCCCAGTCATAAGCTCAAATGTATGATATATTTTGCAAGTCACTATAATTTTAGTCTCTATTTCCATGGCTATTTTGGTTTGTTAAAACAATTAAAAATTTCTAAAAAATAATTATTTTGACTGTTGTGAATTGTAAGTTTACAAAAGTTATTGGCCCTTTATTATCAGTCTTGAAAAATTCATCACTAACTTCTCTGTTTTGAAGTGTCTGTCTCTTTTTCTGTGATTTTTCTATTTTTTTCTCTTTGATTGTTAAGAATTTAAAAGTTTCTAAAGAATTAAAATAAGTAATTTTTTTCAATATTTTAATTGAAAACAAGAAAATTTAAAATTTAAAAAATTAAACTTAAAAAAACTGAAAATGGAAAAATATTTAAAAATTTAAAAAGATTAAAAATTTGAAGAATTGAAAAATTGAAAAAAGAAATTGGAAATTGGAAAAAAAATAAAAATTTGAAAAGAATTTTTAAAAAATTTAGAGATTTTAAATTTAAAAAATTACAAATGTTCTTGGTCCTTTATAAAGTGATAGGTACTTCTTTTTATTGAAAATCTCAGGTTGTTTTTTAGGAGATGCTTTGCTCTTAGCTCTCTACTCTTTGCCTTGAAAGTTTTGTACTTATCCTTTTCCTCCCTGCCTTCTTATTGTTTAGTTGCTTGTTCACTGCTGTGGTTTTCAGATATGAAGTGTTAATCTGAGTATTCTGCTCTGCTTAGCTGTTGGGTAGCTGGTCTGCCATTCTGCTCTCAGCGACTACTGGTCCACCACGCTTCTCTCAGCTGCTGCTGCGGGCACTCCAGTCCATTGTCATACTTAAGTCTTAGATTCCTAATCAGTCTAGCCGACAACTTTGCCATCCAAAAGGTAGAGGAGGGAACTAGAAGTAAAGCTATACTGGAACTAATTCTTACTAATAGAGAAGAAGTGATAGAGGGAGTGACCACATTATATTAAAATTCAATATAATGCAAACACAAGCAATAGAAAATAATCCAACCAATGTCTTAAACTTTAAAAAAGCTGATTTTAACAAACTCAGAGAGAACCTAGGAAAGATTCCATGGATTAAAATCCTAAAGGGGAAAACAACTCAAGAATCATGGGAAACTCTGAAAAATGCAATCATAAAAGCCCAGTCCAGCACAATACTGAAAAAGAAAAACAAGAAATTCAAGAAGAAACCAGCATGGCTACACAAAGTTTCTCTGACAAACTGAAAGACAAAAAGAACAAGTACAAAAATTGGAAAGAGGGACAGATAACTAAGGCTGATTATCAGGAGACAGCCAGAACATGCAAAGATGAAGTCAGGAAAGCAAAGGCTCACAATGAACAAAGACTTGCAACAGAAGTCAAGGACAATAAAAAAAGTTTCTTTCAACATATTAATAACAAGAAAAAAACCAAGGAAACAGTAGGTCCACTAAAGAGAGAAGATGGCAAGGAAGTAACAAGCAGTAGGGAGAAAGCAGAGCTGCTTAACTCATTCTTTCCATCAGTCATCACACAAAAAAATTATAGCCCAACGTACCAAAAAAACTACTGTAAAAGACAAACTAGAAATAAAAATTAAAATAAGCAAGAAAATGGTAAGAGAACACCTATGTGACCTTGATGAATATAAATCACCAGTACCTGACAGATTACATCCCAGAGTTCTGAAGAACTGGCAGATGTTATCTCAGAACCATTGTACCATATCTTTCAAAAATCTTGGAGCAGCGGGGAAATACCTGAGGATTGGAAAAGGGCTGATGTGGTTCCCATCTTCAAGAAAGGAACCCCCTCCCCAGGAAACTACAGACCAATCAGTCTAACATCAATACCTGAAAAGATCCTGGAAAAGATAATAAAAAAACAGATCTGCAAACAACTAGAAGCAAACAAAGTTATAACTAGCAGCCAGAACAGGTTTGTTAAAAGCAGATCATGCCAAACCAACCTTATTTGATTCTTTTACAAAATGACTAAACTAGTAGACCAGCATAATGCTGTGGACATAGTATACTTAGATTCAGTAAGGCATTTGACAAAGTAGACCACAACCTACTTCTTGGTAAGCTAGAAAAATGTGGATTAGACAACATCACCACCAAATGGATTTGTAACTGGCTGACAAACTGTACTTAACGAGTAGTTCTCAATGGTGCTACATCCACATGGAGAGAAGTAAGCAGTGGGGCACCAAAGGCTCTATCTTAGGCCCAGTACTCTTCAATATCTTCATAAATGACTTAGATGAGGGAATAGAAGGGGAACTCATCAAATTTGCAGATGACACTAAACTGGCAGGAATAGCCAACACCCCAGAAGACAAGCTCAAGATCCAAAGACATCTTAACAAACTTGAACAATGAGCCCTATCCAAGAAAATGAATTTTAATGTGGAGAAAAGCAAAGTTTTACATTTAGGCAGGAAAAATCAAAGGTATAAGTACCGATTAGACGAGACCTGGCTCAAAAACAGTAACTGTGAGAGGGACCTTGGAGTCCTAGTGGACGATCACTTGACTATGAGCCGGCAGTGTGCAGCAGCAGCCAAAAAAGCTAATACAATCCTGGGCTGTATAAACAGAGGCATAGAATCAAGATCACATGAAATATTAATACCACTTTATAAAACCTTAGTAAGACCACACCTGGAATACAACCAACTTTGGTCACCATATACAAAAAGATGTTGAGACTTTGGAAAAAAATCAGAGAAGAGCAACTAGAATGATCAAAGGCCTAAAGACTAAAACATACGAAGAATGGCTGCAGGACTTGGGTTTGGCTAGTCTAAAAAAAAGAAAAAATAGGGGTGATATGATAGCAGTATTCCAGTATTTGAGGGGCTTCCCCAAAGAAATTATTCTCCAAAGTACCAGAGGGCAGGACAAGAAACAATGGTTGGAAACTTGAGAGAAGCAACCTGGAATTAAGGAAAAACTTCCTAACAGTGAGGAGAATTAACCAGTGGAACAGCTTGCCTTCAGAAATCGTGGGCGTTCCATCACTGGAGATTTTTAAGAAGAGACTAGCTAGACAGTCACTTGTCTGAAATGATACAGGTTCTCCTGCTTGAGCAGGGGGCTGGACTAGATCCCTTCCAGCTCTATTCTATTCTATTCTATTCTATTCTATTCTATTCTATTCGAAATCTGCATTATTCACTTCTGTCTTTCAAATTTGGAATTTCCCAATTTGTAAATAAAATGCAGCAGCACCTTTACATTAAATTTGATTTATTTCTGCCATTTATAATGTTAAATATTTTCATCTAACCTTTTTGTTTAAAAAAAGCAATTTATCTTTAATTAAAAACAAAATATTTGTTTTTGTATGTTGTATGTTCATTTTTTAATTATGAATTAATTTTTTGTTTAAAGGACCTAACTGAGATAAGATATTGTGATACTGAAAAGTCTGGAAATTCCTAATTTAGACAAATTAGGTGGTACATCTGAGGCCCTCCAGGGTTCATTGAACTACATGCTATAGCAGCTATCACCTTATTGACTAAACTACTAAAATAGTTTAGCAGCTTATGGAAGGTCATAGGTTCTCTATTTTCACTTAAATGTTGGGGAGAACATTTGGGATTATATTATTTTCTGGGACAGATTGAATAGATTGCAGTCAATTCAGTCTATTTGTAGAAAATGAAAATGAATTTTCGACAAGGGTCTTTTATTTATTATTTTATGTACAATTCTTGTAGATTGAAAAGGCGAAAGATGGCTGACAAAATCCTGCCACAGAGGGTAAGTTCTCATTTTGTGGAAGCATTATTGGGCATTAAAGATAAAAAGTTAGGACAGTGAGCACATTTGATCCAAATGGGGAGAAATATTGCAGACTTTGAGACTATCAATCATCCATCTCTTTCTAGAATAAAGTATTTGCTGCTGATTGTCTTTCACAGAAACTAAATGAACTTACTATGAAATTTTATTTACCTTTTGTCAAATCTTCCTATGTGGATAATAGTTACTTTTGAGGGCCTGGCATGTGTTACATCCTATTGACTAGCCTAGCAAATTATTAAATCACTTTTAATTTAGAAAGAGATTTCTGTGCTGCTTATGTTCACAATCACCTTTCAGGTTGACGTACATTTACTCTTTTCTAAATTAGGGCAAAGTTACATTGTTTTTTTCCCAGTGACAGAAAAAAATAGGGAAGTCCTGTCTGTATCCTGGAAGACCACAATCCTGGACAATAATACTAATTAATATTCACCTAAAATTTATTTTTTTAAAAGCACTAGAAATTGTGACAGCATTTATTAGATAACTATCTAACAATCCATTCTTTTTCTGTAGATTCGTGAACTAGTCCCCGAGTCTCAGGCTTACATGGATTTACTGGCCTTTGAACGCAAGCTGGACCAGACAATTGCCCGCAAAAGAATGGAAATCCAAGAGGCAATCAAGAAACCTTTGACGGTAGAGAGAGAGGATCAGCTAAAACTCTATTAGGGGCAATCTGAATCCATCATTGTGATTAGTTTTGCTGTTTTAAGTTATCTTGGAGAAAGGTCAAAACCATAAAACTGGTTTGTAGATTTGTTATGTGCATGTATGATGATTTCTTTGCTATTTGCAGTTAATGTTTTTCTCTAAATTTTCAGCAAAAGCGGAAGCTGCGTATTTACATCTCTAATACTTTTACTCCTGGCAAAGAGGAGTCTGAGGGTGGTGAGCGTATAGCCTCATGGGAACTTCGTGTGGAAGGCAAACTTCTTGATGATGTAAGCATGAAATTTCTTTGTTAAGAGGTAACCTTGTGACAGATAGAAAATGACAAATGTGTGTTTCCTCTGGATAACTGCCCTGCTTCCTATCCACCCATTAAATAGATCTTGCATCAGGCAGCTAACTATTGCTTCATTTAGCTGTTGACTAATCCTTTCTTAATTTGCATATACCAAAGACATTGTGTGTGTTTGTCCTCTTTGAGCAGTAATTTATGTTTAAGGGTGTTGCTAGACCAAAGGCTAGCCTAGTTCAGTTTCTGCTTACTGCAATGTCCAATTAAATTAGAATTCTTGGGATCTAGCTTAATATATGTAATTTAAATGCTCAAATGATCTCTCATTCTTGAAGAATATAATAGAAGACTTATACTTTTAGGCAAAATAACAATAATAACTATTCTTTATTTTTCTATTTGCAGCCTTACCCAAAATACATATATTTGTGCCTTTGAGTCATTATTGACTCCTGGTTACTGGCTGGACAGGTCCAGTTTTGTTGGCAAGATTTTCTGAAGTGGTTTGCCATAGCCTTTTTCTTAAGGCTGAGAGAAGCTAACTGCGCCAGTCACACAGATAGCTTCCATGCTAAAGCAGAATTAGAACTTCAATTTGCTCGCTCCAGTTCCTTAAGCATTAGATCAAACTGTTCCTTTATTTACTGCTCCTTACTGCCCAGAGTATATGGATTGCAATGGTAATAAATATTGCATAATTAGTATAATAGTATATGTTACAAATAATAAAGGTGATATAATTTACTTATCCCTCACTTAATTAAGCGTTTTTGACAAGTGTGTTTTCTAAAGCAGGGGTCCACAACCCCCAGCTGTGGCCCACTACAGTGACGGGCTGGAGTGTGTGCACATGCACATGCAGCTCAACTTGCATGAGTGGCAAGCCAGAGGGCACTCGCACACATCTGCACTGGCCTGCTGCTCGCATAAGTCGAGCTGACCCTCCTTTTATGTAAGGGCTACATGCATTCATGCCCTGGCCCACCTCTCATGTGGCCCAGTTGCTGTCCCCCCCCCCATCCAGGCCACCAAGCCACGAAGGTTGGGGACCTCTTCTAAAGTGATTGTGAGAATGGTAAAGCTCACTTTCTCATTTGTCTTTCTGTCACAGCCAAGTAAACAGAAGAGAAAATTCTCATCCTTTTTCAAGAGCTTGGTTATTGAATTAGACAAAGAATTATATGGACCAGACAATCACCTGGTGGAGGTAGGTATTTTGGTATATATAGTGTAAAATAGACAGCTCACAGCATTTACAACTTCATGTTAAACTTAGATCCATGGCTAAGAAATTGACATAAGGAGTTTGCTAATTTTATATTCAAAGTTTCTCTTTTACACCGTTAGGCCAAAGGTTTTTGAATTTGTTCTGTTTATAATTTCCACCCACCTTTTTTTCTTTCTTGTTGTGCTCGTTGAATTTGAAGTAGTGTTGATTAATTTATTGCATGGGTTTGTCTTTAGCACAATAGTTTGAAAGAATTTAGCACAATAGTTTGAAAGAATTTAATTTCATAGTTTATTCAAGCTGATTATAAAAATTGCTTAACCAAGATTTAGTCAATACCGTAGGCCAGTGATGGTGAACCTTTTAGAGACTGAGTGCCCAAACTGCAACCCAAAACCCACTTATGCATCGTCGAGTGCCGAGTGGGTGTGGCCCATTGGGTGGGTGTGGCCCATTGGGTGGGCGTGGCTGTGGTGGTAACAGCAGACTGGGTGGGACTAAAAAGTTCAATCAATCAATTCCAACTTTGCAAGATCTTTTTTTTCCCCGCGAGAAGTTGAAATTGATTAAACCTTTTTTTTTTTTGCACACAGCAGTGGAGGCCTAAAGCGAAAAGATTTTATAAAACCCAGCTGAAGGCCTAGGACTGGGGCGACAGCGCGCGTGCCCACAGAGAGGGCTCTGAGTGCCGCCTCTGGCACCTGTGCCATAGGTTTGTCACCACTGCCATAGGCAAATTAGAATTAGGATTCCTTCCATGTTGACTAGAATCTTCATGACCCCACCAACTCTTGATTGTGCATTTTTCAGTGTGTTTTATTTACAGTCCAGGTGTAGGCTTTGCCCCCTCCCCCAAAATGGTGCATCTACCAGAAATTGACAGATATATGGAATAGAGAAGAATTGATGGATAAGGCTATTACCTGAACTATATTTTGACGTAACTAAGGATGTTAATTATGGCAGAAGATTCAAATTTCTAATTTTCACCCATTACAAAACTAAGCAGTAAGCCAGCAATCTGGAACCTGATTATTACCATGTAAGATACTGTATGGAGATTGAGTCGTTTCCACTTGTTTTGCACTAAAAAGTTCTATTACTTATATATTTTTTATCTTAGTGGCACCGGATGCCAACAACCCAAGAGACAGATGGCTTTCAAGTCAAGCGCCCTGGTGATGTGAATGTAAAATGCACTCTGCTTCTCATGCTGGATCATCAAGTAAGAAGGCAAATTACCATTGCAAAGTCAGGATTTCCCAAATTTCCCAGATTTATCTTCTTGGGGTAGTGCAGTTAGAGTCCAGAAAAATATGAAGAACCATTTACTATTACAATAAAGCCAACTTTTCCAAACTTTCATTATATTGTTCTCATTGTTCATTTGTATTCATTTTAGTCTTTGGATATTTAAGGGAAGTGTGTATTATTGAGATTACACTAAAGGGAGATATGGTAGCAAAAGGCATAGAAACTCTTGCTTTACTGGAAAGAAGATAAACAGATCCTGGCCCACAGGCAGCTTTTTTAATAGTTCATTATCTGAAACATTCAGTTTCTCTACCTGGAGCAAAGCTGTACAACTTGGGTTTGCCACCAGAATTTCACAATTTTCTTTTTAAAGTTGGTCTCCATTGTAAATTGTGACTTATTTGATAAAGATAACTATAAAGTTGCATTTAATTTCCTTTTAAAGAAGCTTAAAGTTAAATTTAATACTAGCCTGTGTGTTCTCTTGCTCTATATTATTCATCAGAAGCGTCATGCTTTATTTCATTTTTTAGAGAAAACATTAAAAATTGAAAAGGAAACTGGGATTGCAAAATTGATAGGACAGCACACATGTTAATTAGGCAACATTGTCATTTCAGCCTCCTCAATACAAGCTAGACCCACGTCTGGCTCGCCTGCTTGGTGTCCACACCCAGACTCGTGCCAGCATAATGCAGGCCCTATGGCTCTATATCAAATATAACAAGCTTCAGGACTGTCATGAGAAAGAATATATCAATTGCAACCGCTATTTTCGCCAGGTCAGTATGTCTCTGCTGTTTAGAATATTTTATTAAATGAAGATGTTTTTTCACAAATCAGCTTAATTTAGCTTCACTCCATATCAATCCTAAACACAAGCTGATCAATAGTCTGTAATCTATCTTGGTATTGAGTATGTATTGCTTATGTTGCATATGGTTATTTGCACATGGGCATTATACGAACATTAAGTGTTAGCAACTATATTCAAGGAATAAAAATGGAAGCTGGGGGCTGAGCAGTTTTCATGTTTGGGAACTAGAATTTCAGTTCACACATAATTCCGCTTCTTGGTTCCTGATTTTGTATCTGTTATATCTTCTCAAGTTCATATCTGTTGCTTAGTTCTATTGCCACTACCATTAATTTGAAAATAGTATAACGGAAGCAGAATAAATTGCAGATTGTCAATCTTGCAAGCTTGAAGAGGTAATACACTAACAAAGTAGACTGTCAGAATCTCTTCAGATAAGTTTTAACTATATTGTTTAAAAAAATTGGAAGTCCACTATTTCGTTACTCAGTTCACATTATTGCTGCTGTTGTTATTGTATATGCATGCAGAAATGCCCAATGACTGGTTGGCTCAGAACAATTAAAACAAAGAAAAGCAACTAGAAGGTAGAAAAACGATGAAAAAATATACGAAGTGGAAAGAATTGCAGATTGGAAGGAAATGAAGCAGGGGGTCCCACTGGGGGAAGGGCTCTTCTAAATCGAGAAGAGTGTAACTGTCCAGATCAGGGAACATCATTCCAGCGGATAGGCACTGCTATAGAGAAGACATACTGTTCTGATAGAGGACATTGTTAATTGAAGGAACCCAGTGCACTGATTCTGCAAGATCGAATCAGCCAGGCAGATTGTAAACAATAACAGTAATTCACAATGAGTAGGTACACACATGGATATTTAGATTAAAAACAATCAGTACAGATAGTCCTCAACCTATAACAGTTCATTTAGTTACAACGGCACTGAAAAAAATGACTTATAACCGTTTTTCACACTTGCGACCATTGGTCAAATGATCAAAATTCATACTCTTGGCAACTGACTCACCTTTATGACGGTTGCAGTGTCCCAAGGTCATGTGATCACCTTTGGCGACTTTCTGACAAGCAAAATCAATGGGGAAGCCAAATTCACTTAACAAATATGTTACTAATTTAACAACTGCAGTGATTCACTTTACTGTGGCAAGGAAATTTGTTAAATTGGGCAAAAGTCACTTAACCAATGTCTCATTAACCAACAGTAATTTGGGGCTCAGTTGTGGTCATAAGTCGAGGACTATCTGTACATTAGTGTTTATCACACTAAAGATCTGATCCTTACAATTAGAATATCCCATGGGTTTATTTTGAGCCCACCTATTTCTCCAGATGTTATTCCTTTGGAATTACTAAGGTTTGTCTTCTTGCTTCATTTTAGATCTTCAACTGCAGCCGTATGAGATTTTCTGAGATTCCAATGAAACTGGCAGGACTCTTACAACATCCAGATCCCATTGTTATCAATCACATTATCAGGTAAGATTGATACTATAAGATTTTAGATTCCCTAAAATTATTAGGGAACAACCTAATTACATGCTCAGTTGATACCTGACTGTATCCATATACATATCCAAATGTATACATTAAAAATTGTCTTTGGAGAGCCTTCTGGAATCTTACCTCTACGCTGGGTCTTTGACAATCTGTATGCTTTCTGAGTTCTTATTTGTGAATTAGAAATAGTATTGGTGTACTTCTGTATAAATTGAATATAGAGAAGGTATTTAATCTGAACAATTAGAATAATATCACTGCTTATCTATATAACATTTCATTTATATCTGAATTATTATTCTATTAGTGACCTTTTGAATTTCAAGGTCTCTCTAATTCAGATAATTTTAAAAGAAAGTTGTTTCATGTCTTATTTTATTCTGATTGTGAAATTCTGTTTCCTGTTATCTAGTTTCCATTTGCAAACTCTCCTGAGCTATCAGGTCAATGCAATTAGAACAGCTCTGAGAAAGGTTCAAATAGATATTTTTATAGGTGATCACCAATCAATACTATTGTCTCATCAGACAGTCTGCCTTCCCTTGGGAGACCGTTTCTTCCTCCAAATGGACTCTAAGCTGGAATGTCTTTTAAGTACCCCATCAGGGCCTCCTTTCCTTCAGCCAGGGGTTCCACCACAGGAACCCAGGAAAGGCATTTTAAACAAAATATTTTATGATGCATATCCAAATATTACAATCGCTCGAGCTGCTCAAATTTGCACATCCAATTTGGTGTAAGGAAAACTTACATTTCAGATTTTTACTGCCTCTCTAGAAGGCTACTGTGGTAATGTAAGAGAGAATCTAATCCTTATACCTATCTGAATGTGGTGGTAAAGACATAAGTCTAAGAAAGGATACTTCTCACCCCTTAACATACCTTCTTGTCTTGACTTGTCTAGCGTGGACCCTAATGATCAAAAGAAAACAGCCTGTTATGACATTGACGTGGAAGTAGATGACCCCTTGAAAGCCCAAATGAGCAACTTCTTGGCCTCCACCACTAATCAGCAAGAAATTGCTTCCCTGGATATCAAGGTAACACATTGTCAACTGTGCGGTAGGAAAAAGACAAAAACTAGTTACCTTTCTTAGCTTGGGGAATAATGTAGTGTGCATGATGCTATATTTTACACACATCCCCTTTAAGAAGATCTACTTATTCCACTAGCATTCATAAAATACTTGGCACGGAAAACTTTCTCATATGCTATGCTTTCTATCTATGTTTGAGAATAAAAAACAAACTGGCTGCTAAGGTGTCTCAGAACAACAGATGATTAAATAGAGGATTTTAAACTAGATCAGGGAAGAGAGGAGCAACAATCCCATTTGCAATCCAGCAAAATCTCATTGCCACTAAAAAATTAGTGACATATTTTCAGTGGTGCAATATTAATCTTTTTAATTTTATTTCTGCAATTTAAATGTATTCAATTACAAAAGAGATTATAAGCAGCTTGCAAATAATAACCAAAACAAAATGTAATAATTACCTACCTCAGAGAGGGGGTCCACTACACCATCAATCCCTAGACGCTTTCTGGGGGAATACTGATATCAGAGGTCCCTTCCCTGCAATAGGCAATTGTTGTTTTGCAGTTTTCTTTTAATTCTGTTTTACTTCAGCATTGTTTTTAAGCAACTTAGAACCTTTTTTCTGGGAATTAGTGGCAAAAAGAAAAGAAATATAAAAACATTAAACTAGAATTATATTACATACACATGTAATATAAGTTTGTATAAATATATATATACACACACACACGCATACACATACCTACATACATACATATAAATATAAATATATAGTATTTTAGACCTTTAATTGTAAAGGTCCAAACAAAGGAAGTATAAAAATTTAGTGCCTGATTTACATTGCATGCCATGTATCTTTCTTTCCTTTTAAATGGATTTTCAAAACTTGAATTTTTGTTACCTTCCTGTTGCTTGAACTTAGAAAAGTATCAGTAGAGAGATGAGTAAATTCTTTGCCTGACTTGACATTTAAAAATTATGACAGTTCAAAGAAAGCAAAGCAAAAATCAAAATTAGAAAAAGAAGTAAAAGTAATTTATATTCTCTCTTTAATCTTTCTTCCGTACCATGTTGTCTAAGGACAGTAGGAAGTTAGTGTTCTCACATCTTTCATTCACATTGCTCTCTATTCATATTGTATCTCTATTACCTTTTTCTGCTTGTTTTCTGCTCCAGAATATTTATCAAATGTATTGATTTAAAATAGCAGCTGGTGCTATACAGTGTTGCGGGATTTGAAGACTATTAATTGATGGTCATTACTAGTCTGTTGTAGGCAGTATACATATAGATATCCCTCCAAATCTTGGGAGCCCCACATTAATAGCAGAGTTTTAGAGGGTTATGTTTATGTTTTCCAGACTTACACAGTCCTGGCAAATTTGTTCTTTTTCATAAGGAACTTTTTGTATTTTTGTACAGATTCATGAAACAATTGAATCTATTAATCAGTTGAAGACACAACGAGATTTTATGCTGAGTTTTAGTAATAATCCTCAGGATTTTATTCAGGAGTGGATCAGATCTCAACAGAGGGATTTGAAGGTAAGTATTTGGATGACTAGGGAGAATTTATGCAGGGGTATATAACTCCATACATGTATAGTTCAAAGTAAGCTACACTGAATTAAATAAGGCTTGTTAGCATAATTGTGTATGTGGAATTAGTAGAACACTTACATAATTTGGTTTTTACTGCCCTTTATTTGGCAGCTTCTATGAATTTGAATTCAGATATTCAGGTTCTTTAAGACTAAGTCAAAATTACGCAAGTTAACCTGTCAGCTACCCATACATTTTGAAATTCAGGCTACATTCTGGATAGAAATTAGTTGCCTTTTTGTTTACATGTTTGTTGATCCCACTCTTATATGAGGCTTGAAGTATTCCTTCCTTCCTTCCTTCCCCAAAAATTCCTGATTTTTCATATCTTGAAAAAGGAAAAATATGCAAAGCAGATCATTTATTCCACAGAGTGGGAAAGATGAATTTTAAATAGGAAGGAAAAAATAAAATAGAGATAATGTGTTTATGTATTCTTCAAATGCATCTGCCTGCCCAATATTACACACCTTACTGGGTTATAATAATATTTATATGGTGCAATATAATATAGGTATTTTTGTATTGATGCCTCCCTTTCTTTATATATTTTATATTTTTTTCAGTCTTTGGGAACCCCTGAATTAGATTGAAATCTAACCAAGTTTACAATATTCACAATTAGCTAAATTTCAGTATGAGCAAGTCTGTTTTAGAACATTAAATGTCCCACAATTCCTTCTTCCATGCCTCCATTTTGCCTTAGATTATTACAGATGTGGCTGGGAACCCAGAAGAAGAGAGACGGGCTGATTTCTATCAGCAACCATGGATGCAAGAAGCTGTTGGACGACACATCTTTGCAAAGGTAGGAGAGCATAATTCAGTGTAACTTTTTTTAAAAACTACCTAACGTATTTTTCTTCAGTGTGGAGGCAGAGTGAATGTAGAACTGTATTTTTAATGCACCTCTTTCAGTGCAGTCTTCAAAGCTGGTCAAGGTGCTTCCTTTCTTATATTTGACTTCCCTGTTTTTCTCTCTCCCATGGAATTCCTTTGTAGAAGTGCAGAACAGTTTTTACCAGCAATTATTGATGAAATAATTGTATTCTCTGTGGAGCTGGGATAATTTATCCTGAATTAGAGCACTTAAGAGTTTTCCATACTATTTCTGTAAGGAAGGAGCCATATACGCATCTGATGCTTGTTCTATTTGTGGTTCTCATCTATCTCTATAATGGTTTTCTGTCTTTTAGGTTCAGCAGCGCAGACAAGAACTGGAACAAGTGCTTGGTGTTCGCCTTACTTAGTGCTGCCTTCTTTTGCAGTTCTTCCACACCTCTTGGTACTTCGGAATGGACCAATAGGCAAACAGTCCTTGTCCTTTCCTCTTGGAAGGTGGGGGGGGGATTGTGCTGCTATTGCATATTTTGTGTTCAGTACTCTCTATGGGCTCATAGAAGTATCCTTCAGCAGAGAAAAGGTCTTCTCCTTCACCAAAACCTGCCCTTCATATGTGCTTTGCCTTTGGGAGACTGGGAATTTTTGTTTTGAGTTGCTTCTACCTCTTAGCAGAGCTTTTGCAGTCTTGCAATGCAAGAATGTGCTGCTCATTTTTAATCAAAGCTTGTGTCCATTCCTGCCAGTTTTGCTGGCATTTAATCTTTGCACTATCTCTTTTTTTGTCGGGCTGGGCTGTTTCTTGTAGAAAGTTTTTTAATGTATACTTGGTGGTGGCTTCTGTTCCACCCTATGCAATTGATATTCCACAATATCAAAAAGAAAGGCCGGTGGTCGGATGTTACTATGCTGTTAATGACAATCATTTCCCATTAATATATATATATGTGTGTGTGTGTGTGTGAGAGAGAGAGAGAGAGAGAGAGAGAGAGAGAGAGAGAGAGAGAGAGAGAGAGAGAGAGAGAAAGAGAGAGATTTAGAACAATGGAAAGTATATTTTATGATAAGGTTACAGTGCCAGAAGGAATATTCCTGGCAAAGGATATAAGTAGTAACTTCCTCAACCTTCTCTAACTTCCTTCAAGTGCCTTCATTTTCCAAGCTTTTTGGCCTTCAGCACTTAAATCTTCCAAAGATTATCACCCTGCTTCCTGGCCTGCTCCTTGATATAGTTTGGCTAAGTAGAAGCTGATGGGATGTTTACCTATAAGCAAGTATGCTACCAGTTTTTATGTTAATTTTTTAAAAAATAAACATACATTTTAACAGCAACTGATGTTAAAAATCTTGTTTTTCAATTCCTTAGGGGGTGGACGTTGGGGGCACTGATGAAACCATGTGGTAGACTGGCTAGTGTGTTAAATGGGATTTTTTTTTTATAAAAGGCAAGTAGCACACTATAAATTAGGAAGACACGATGTTAACTGCATATCCCTTGAGCAGCACTGTGTTCTATGTATACCAGAGTTCCCCAACCGTTCCAGCTTTGCAGATTGACGGGGGAGGGGGGGTTCCACACGAGTCGCCAGCAAGCGTGCACATGCACTCCATTTGTGTGAGCAGTGGGTGCACGTGCCCACTTGCACAAATGGAGCGCACGCCTTCCCGCTATTTGCGCAAGTGGCAATGTGCATGTGTGCGCTCACCCACGTCCACGTCCTGGTTCCAAATGGCTCACGGCTCAGTTGTTGGCCACAGCCCGGGGGATAGGGTCCTCTGATGTAGACTGCAAAATTATTTTTCACATTCAGCATGTTCAAAAGGAAACAATTCCAACTATTTGAGCACATGAAATCATCCAGTTTTGTGACTGATCACAACAGATATTCAGTTGCTTCTGAATGTAATGACAAGGCTACTTTGAACTTGTTAAAAAGATCAGTAGTTCCAAAGTATCGTTCAGTAACACATTAGGAACTCATCCGCATATACAATGGCACATATATGAAATTGTTATTATTGTGTTATTACCGTAAGGCCTACCGCAAAAATAAGCACTAGCTTGATTTGGGGGTGGGGGGGTGGGCCTAATATAAGTCCTATCCCAAAAATAAGCTCTAGTTTTGGGACAAGATACACACCTAAAAATCAAGCTGCCCCATGCATCCCATACCCACTTACCTTGCAACCAGGCCTCTCCTCGCCTGCCCACTTTTGCAGCGTCTTCTGCAGCCAGGCCTGCATTTCTCAGTCACAGGCCTTTCCGGAAGGCCTCTGCAGCCAAGGACTGAGCTATGGATTCAATCCATAGTGCGGTTCTGTAAGACCTCTGCAGCCAAGCACCGAGCTATGGATTGAATCCATAGCTCCATACTTGGCTGCATAGGCCTTCTGGAAAGGCCTGACTGCAAAATGCAGGCCGGAATGCAGCTGAAGAGTGAAGCTGCTCCTTCGGCCGCAGAAGTAGACCTGCTGGGCGGGGCTGTCGGTGCTGTACGTAAGACATCCCCCGAAAATAAGACCTGGTGCTTCTTTTGGAGGCAAAATAAAAAATAAAAAAAAAATCCAGTCTTTATTTTCAGGGAAACACAGTACTATTTTGATCACATAGTTCAAGGATGCCTTGAGAAACCTCTTCCCCAAAAGCTTAGACTTTGCTATGAGTTCACTGAATGTTAGTTCTTAGGCTCCCAACAATTGCATGTCCTGATTTACTGCACACAAAAATTTGTAATTTTTAACAAAAACAGCCCCAAAAATAGTTGCTACTGCTACGTTTATTAGAGAGGAGGGGGAAGAGGGTGGGGAATCAGGCTTTCTATTGAATTACTAAGTTTAATTGGCAGGATTATTTCCAAAAATTCACAGTAGTAATTATGTAGTTAAATTTTTGTTATGGCACAATTTTCTCTTCATAAAGCAAAGGAACCTATTTAGTTAACTGTTTCTATTCATGGCTGCATGATTCAATCTCTGGTTGAAGACATCAAAATAAGCTAGTCAATAAAATGTGAATGAGTACTTTTAATATCACTAACTATAATTTTTTTCAAGTCATTCTCTCTAAGCAGTTTTTCTCCCCTCTATCTTAAACTTGATTATTACAATTTCAATATATTTATTGCCATTTGATAGGTACAAAGATATTAGAGATGCACAAACATTTTCAACCCATTTTCTACACCAGTCTGGTTTGGAAGTTACTTCCAGAACTGTCCTGGAGGAGCATGGAGTAGCATAGTGATACAGAATATTTAGTTCTGGATCAAGTTGCACACATAATTAACATGTACCTTTCTAAGCTACAAATTAGAGTAGAAGTACGAAAACTTGAAAACAGAACTGAAAAGGCCGTTTCAAAGACAGATGTTATTACAGACTTAATCAGGCTTTTAGGAGGACCTCATCAGTGAGAAAACATGTAATTCATTCGGTTTTATAACTAATTTTGTTGCTGAAAAACTGAACAAATTAAACAAAAAACCCCTTTCCTCCTCCATTTATGATCATTTATATTGTTTTATTACATGAAAAACAAGTAAATGACATAATAGGAAATAACTTGATGAAACAGCAGCAACTTTTTATTACTTCCAGAGCTTCTTGATAGACATGTTCTTCTCACTGTCTTTTTGCATTACCTGTCAAGGGAAAAGAAGCATTAAAAACAAAGCAGAAGATAACACATAAATTGCAGCTTCTTAAAAGCTTTCTTCTACCACTAGGCTAGCTGTTTAAATCCATACATTTTATTATCTCTCCCTGACCAAAAAACCCCCCTCTCATTAATTCCATAAGTTGAACCTTCAGATTACCTTCGTTATCCTATCTTAATAAAAATGCAGGAGTTTTTGCTGTAAGTCTGCTATCACTCACCTACCCAGTTAAATGTCAGACTTCAAATAATTCAACTTTTCAGAACTCCATTAATACATGCTGATCTCTACAGCTTCTCTGGAAAAAGGCAGTTCTGGTTTAGTCACTCCTAACCATAAGTAGAACCTAGTTGCAATTTTAATAATCACCCTAATTATCTATTCAGCAGTCATTCAGTTATGATGGCACTGAACAAATGGTGGTTCTGACCAGTCAGAGTTCCAGCTTTCCCAGCACCCCTATTGTTGTGTGACTGTGATCTTGGCACCTGGCAATTAATTCACACTTAAGACTGATCGCAGTACCGCACAATCACATGATCACCATTTGCAACATTCCATGCTGGCTTCCACAGAAATTTATTGACATGCCACCAGGGACAATCAGAAATTGTTGCGATAAGTCTCCCTTACCATACATACTCCACAGCCCCTTTGTGCTTGTGCTGGCCATTTGCACAATCAGTGACCGTGCCTCACATTCCCTCTTGCACCTGACCCATGTTGCTTATGCACATGGCCCCCCCTTGTACACAAATGAAGGCAAATACATCCCCTTGCACTCTTCCTGACCTACCTCATGCCTCTTATGGACTTTCCCTGTGTGTGCCTCTTGTACACTCTCACCCTTTTATGTGCGTGTCTAGGACTTACAACTTTCTGCTGGTTTCTCATGGTTTAGGAAGCCAACAGGAAGTTGCCTCACCAAACGACTACAGGATTCAGTTAACAATGGCAACCAGGATTGCAGAGATTGCCATCATTAAATGATGCAACCATGTTTTATGACCATATCACTTACTGACAGAAATTCCAATCCTAATTGTCATCATAAATCCAGGAATACTTATATCACACAGTTAGCATGCCTAATGGATATTCTGAATCAAAATTAAAAGTATTACAATTCAATATATAGAAAAACTCGTTAGGGAAGGCAGCTGTAAGTATTGAGTATTCCTTTTGTCTCTCATATCTACGACCAACAGTACCTTTGCTACAGCCATTTCAAAGTCTTCTTGAGTTACGTGTACTCTCCTCTCTCTCAGTGCATACATTCCAGCCTCTGTACACACACCCTGCAACACAAATTTGTACAATATCCATATGTCCTGTTCCATTCAAATATAGAGCTCAGCCAGACCATCTTTTGCCTCATATAAAAACAATACAATTGTTCCTAATGTGAGTGGAGAGATTTTTAATCATATGTATACATAAGGTGCTAATTTTAATTCAAGCACTAATTCTTGGAAATACTTCTTTTGAAACATTTAGCAATTATGTGTTTTAACACCAACATTCATTTTCACCTATCGTAAAAAAGAACCATGAAAATAACGGTCTCTTCAGTGTTGAAAAACAGTTTAGCACGGCAGAATGCCAAAATAACATTTGAATGGTGTTATAAAAATATCAGGAAAATATTTGCCAATATCCCTTCTCTTCACAGGTGCAAAACTAAGTTGAAAAACTATATCCCCACATATTTCCAATAATCCATGATTTTTTTAAAAAAATAATTCACTTTACAATATACAGTAACTAATCTGGCATCCATTTAAATCCGAATTTCTCCATTACCTTGACCTCAGCCCCGGAAGCCCCTGGCATTAGTTCTGCAATCTTCCGCAGATTGATTCCTCTTGTCAGATTCATCTTGCGAGAGTGAATCTTCAGGATGTCTAGACGAGCCTATTGGGATCAAAAAGGAGAGTCAAAACAGTATAGAAAGTACAACACAATACAGCTGATGGACATTCTCTCTCCAGCATCTCTTTATTGGAGAAGATCTATTACAATAAGCAAATGAAAAGCTGACCCACTAACTCTGTTACCTCTTCATTTGGAGGTGGGAATTCAATTTTTCTATCAATGCGGCCAGGTCGAAGCAGGGCTGAATCCAAGATGTCTATGCGATTGGTTGCCATAATTACCTGCAAAAAGATAGTTACTGAACTGTAGTCAATATTCTAGTTTAGTGGCCCCCAACCCTTTGGGTAGCAGGGACTGATTCCATGGAGAGAGATTTTTCTGCAGACTGGTGGGGGCGTGGTTTCACCTGCATCCTGTGGATAGGGCTTAGCTTGTTTGTGTGGCCTGGTTTTTGCATG